AGTTAGACTATCTTCTCTATATCTCAGATCCCTGTTCGTAATGGAATTTCTTAAAATCTTAAAGTGTAGTATCTTCTATTTCCAGGATGCTGTGGCTTTAGTGCAGGACATAGCAGACGCAGAAGAAGCATCTAGAAAACTCATCCAAGAGGCTTTTGCACGCGGTAGCTCAGACAACATAACTTGTGTTGTTGTCCAGTTTGATATTTCAGAGTAGACTCGTTCATATTCCAAGGTAAATGTTGAGTTAATGGTATGTGTATATGTGTTTAGATTTATATAGCAACACATGCACATGCATGCATGCGTACTACACATACACACACATGGAATTTCGTTACTAGTTGTTAAGCATTTTGATTTTGCAGGTTCAGCTTACTTATTAAAACGGCATCCAAGCAATGTGGAAAGACTATTGAGGCAATAGTTTCCTGAAATTGTCTTTAAGTAATTAGTGTATTGGGCTGACAGCTCAGTTTTCAAGTTGTAAGTCCTGAACTCCTGGTTGTCACCACAACCCGTAGTGAATTGTCAATTGTTGCTTCAATGTAGTTTTGAATTTGAGTTCCTTCTTTTTGTTGTGAAAATGAAAGCTTGGATGCCTTTCAAATGGCCACATCCAAAAAGAAGGAAAAACCTGTGTGTGTTTTTGTGTGTTTTGTATCTCTGTCTTCAAGGACTGGTTATTGAGGATTGACAAATGATACGAGTTCATACAGGTGCTCGACCTGGTACATACCGAAGTCGAAGCATGTCATACTGCTTTTTGGTTTAGTTTGACGGGTATTTGAGATGATGATTAGTCTAATTGCTGATCAGGTGACATGATTAGTCTAATACTTGCATCCAATCCAATGGTTGACCTTGTATTAAATTGATGGCCAAAAGAGTTGATGTTGAATTCAACCAAAGAAATGTTTGTAAACTAGGATAAGGATAGGAAACTTGTCTGCGTTGGTTGTGAAATGCGATGTGATGGCTGTTCTTTCCCCTTCCAAAATTAGAATCCATGAGTTTCTCGGCTTAAATTGCCGCCAGCAGTTGGTTCACTTAATATATGCGAAAAGGAAACAGCCAAGAGTTCAGCAAACCGACTTGAAACACAAGAAAATCAAAATGCCCATGAAATATGAGTGCTTCAAATTTTCATTATTGTTAGGCAGAATTAAGCGAGTAAAATAGCATGGTAGTTTGTCACGTCCAGCAGGATCATTTCCTTCAATTCCTTTGGTAGTTTAGATTGGTCTAAGATAACATTCACCCAAGTCCACAAAGGTAACCTCCATTTTCAAACATTCTTAACATAGCTCTTTTTCCCTTCAATTCAGGTGCTGATGTTTTATTTCATTACGAGTTCGAATTTAATTAGTATTTACTTTCAAGTGATCTAACAAGTAACGAGTGATGAACTTGTAAAATGTATATACATATGTTACATGTAAGTCTTTCTCATATCGTGATATGAAAAGAAAAAGTTAAGTGAAG